CCCCAAAACCCCAAAACCCCAAAACCCCTCGATTTTTAGTATAAATTGGATAATTTAAACAATGTCGCTCATGAAGGATCTGACAATCGCGGTAATTTCTGATATTCAACAAATACCAATATTCTACTTTGTCCTTTAGCATCAGTGACTTGCTGATACATGTCCTGATACTTTTGAGAAACGGTATCTTAGCACCCTGAGATACTTTCTCAGTTTTCAAAATAGCAGGACATTTTCTGCCAAACTACTCAAATCCCTAAACTCTTACATTTAGCATCACAAATCATTAAAAGAAGAGCTTAAATCAAAAGAGAACAAGGCTGTACTTGAGGAAGACATCTGGGTAAAGTTGTGTCTAACCCCTTAGTCCCTGTTTACTATTTACAATGAAATGTTCTTCTTCGGCACACTTGGGACAACCCTGGTCGAATGGAGTAACAGGATGACAGAATGTGCAGGGATTTGTTACAAAAAGCAAGGGTATTGTATTATTAGGCTTTCTAAGTAAACTCCTCAAATTTCGGTCAATCCAGGAACTCCATGAGACCTTATTACATGAAATGATCCATGCATACCTTTTTACAGTAAAGTCATGAGTAATTTCTAGGTTGATCCGAACTACTCACGTACTGATGACGGTCATGGGGCTGATTTTCAGAAATTAATGAAGGAAATTAACAAAGCTACAGGGTATAATATTACAATTTATCACAAGGTAAACTAGCTTTGATAAAAACACCTTTGATTCGTCTGTGACAGTTCATAGTTCCATGATGAAGTAGAGGCAACCAAGGAACACATCTGGCTTTGTGATGGTATATGACAGAAACAGAGACCCTTTTTCGGTCTGGTAAAAAGGTGACATTTGCATCTTAAATTTAGAGCAAGCAACAGAGCTCCAGGTCCTAATGATTTCTGGTGGGAACGACACAAGCAAACTTGTGGGGGCACTTACCATAAAATTCATGGTAACTTTCAAGCTTAAAGTGGTCTAATAAGAGCATAGAGCCTGATAAATAAAGAAAAGAAACCCAAGAAGCCCAAGAAACAGCAGAAGACAAATCGAAAAATAAATGAGTAAAGGAATTTCTGATCTTTAGTTATTTTGGGAAGAAGAAAGTTGAAGAAACTAAACAGGAGAATCCCACCAAAAAGCCAGAGTCTAAGACAAAGGCTAAACCTACTAAAGGTACATTAATGAATGACCATCTTATCTTTCTCATCTCTTGATCAGTCTGGATGGCTCATTCTTGGCATCCTCATTACTTCGTTGAAGCATTCCGTTCTTTTTAAAGTTAACAGTAGTTTTATAAATTCTTGTGCATAGAGGAGACAAAGAAGGATAATGCTTGTAATAAGGAGATACAGAAAAGGAAAAGAACACCACCAAAGGATAGCTTTGACCTAAGTGACCTGTTTTCTCCGCTTGAGTCTCAGATGGATCTTATTAACACTCAGGATCTTATGTCTGATTTTAGTCGGAATTGTTCAGAGAAGAAGGAAGAGAGAATTAAGGTTAATAAGTTTATACTATTGAATGATAAGCAAGAAGGTTAAGAATGAGTTTTGGGAAAGGGAGTTAGTGGGAATTGGTTTAACGGAAGGGGGAGTCTCGGCAGGTTTTTACAAACTTGATTTTTGAGATGTTTGAAGTGTGTTTGAGGTAAAAGGGTTTATATGAATTTTCATGGATATTTAGGGGTTTTGGGGTTTTGGGGTTTTGGGG